GACCCTTTTGGGACCAACACTTTGGAATGTCCAAGGACTTATTTGTGCCAAAAAATTGTCCAAGGACTTATTTAACATGTTTTGAAAAGTTCAAGGACTTATTTGTTCCAAAAAAAAGTTCAAGGACTTAATCATTCCAAAYAAGAAAGTTCATTGGTTTTTATTGTACTTTTCCCTATTTTTTATTGCTTATAAAAATAACTTATTAACTTATTTCGTTTTGGTATTAGTAATAAGCTATTTTAAGTGCTTGGATAAACAACTTATATGGTACCAAACCGGTAATAAAGAGTTTTTGAAAAAGTTAAACTATTCTAACTTATAATAAGTTGATAAAGACTTTTGTAGAAAAATATAAGTTGTTCCAAATAAGCAATTCAAAATACCCCCTAAAATTGAACACCAAACTTGTTTTATAAGGGAAAAGTCTGAATAAATCTAAGCAATTTTTTCATTTTGAATGGTTTAATTCTTAAAAATAATTTTTTTCATTTTAAATGATTAAGCCGCTGAACTATTTTTTTTAAATGAAAAAATTGTTAAACCTTTTCATTTTGAATTATTAAATCCCCAAAAAATTTCTTTAATAAATAAAGCATCGAACTTTTGCTAGTCGATTACATGTAACATTTTTTGAATTAAAAAGATATAGGTAATCAATTTAAAAAGTGCGATGCCTTATTTATTAAAAAAATGTTTAGAGACTTAATCATGTAAAATTTATAAGTTAAATGGGTTTTCATTCAAAAAAAAAATTCACAAACTTAATCATTGAAAAAAAAATTAATAGGTTTTTCATTAAAAAAAAAAAGTTGGTTAGATTTATTCTGAACTTTTCTCAATTTATAATAGTATTTCATTTATATCCCATTTCTTTTCTAACTTTTATTTTTTTTTATCCTTATCATTTATTTATTTAATTTAAATAAAAATATAAGTCATTTGGATAAAAAAAAGAAAAGAAAATATAAGTTCAAAATATATATAAGTTACATTAACAAAATATATTTTATAAATAAAAAGAATGAAATGGAATATCAATAAAAACTTAAAATTAATCAAAATTATCAGATAAAAATAATAATAAAAATCGAATATTTCATGTTCGATTAAATATTGATTGTGAACTTAGACAATTTCTTTTATTATAATCAAAGCTAAGATGATTCAACAGATATGGTTAAAAATATGGATGTATCTGTTTTTTGAAATAAAAATACTCCCCTTTGTATTTTTTTTTTCAAATGAAAATCGGTAAACATAACAAACAGTGAAACAAAACAAATTTATCAAAAAACGATCATTTTATTTTTTTAATTGATCCTACATATTTATTTATTTGTTCATTTGTTTTTCAGAGTACTACAATTCTTTCTTTACCTTATATTTGTCAATGTGATTGCGTGAATTTGGACTTTGAAAGGAGCCCAAGACCTTGAGATGAGTCCAAGATTATGAAGATATGAATTTTTGTATAAAAAATTTATGGGTCTTCTTTTTATAAGGTTAATCCATAGCTATGACAAAAGCCTTAAACAAACAATCGATTGTGTAGTTATATAAATTAAGATCATTCACAAGGACAATTTCATGGTTTAGAATGTAAATCTATATTGATGATCTGTAATTTAGGTAATGTTTGTTTTTTAAGATGTGCTGAAGTCTTATTTCACTTATGATTTATAAGAGGTGGTACTGAAGTCTGAATCAATGAAAATGTTTGTTTGTTTTTGTAAAGTGATAAACGTCTGAATTTGTTTAAGTTGTCTATTTTACACATTAAAAAACTTTTAATGTTGAATTTATAGATAAATTTATACAAATTCACATATTTATTCATCATCATTATGAAATTTACGTCTAAATGATATTATTGACATTCATTTAAACGAAAATATGTCATTAACGGTGTTTAACATATTTACATCCTATTAAAATATATTAATTGAGAGAGGTGATGATTGATTTGGTAAGGATCGATTGAGAGAAATGATCGATTGAGAAACGTCGTTGTTGAGAATTTGAAGAACAACAAAAAACAAATAAGACATAAATGCCCCTGTAAAATCGAAAAAAAACAAACAGCTTGAATGGTTGTCTCTTAATGAATTAATTATCTTTTTGATGTTCATCACTTTATTTGACCGTAAATCTACCTAAATATAACAGATGTTTGTTTAACAACTGGTTACATTTAATTTAAATATAAGGTAAAGATCTCGTTATAATGTTTATATACATTTATGTTATACTGTAAGAATGTAAATTATATGCAAGAGCTGTGGCATAGGGAATAAGGGGGCAGGCTGGTGCCAAGGCCCCCTCAACATAGTGAGCCAAACCCTAAAGTATGGATGCATGCATGACTTTCTAAATTATTGTTTTTAAAAATATTAAAAAAGAGTCTCAACTCTTTAATAAACCGGTACTATTTTTTTCAAACGTTAAAGAAATATCCTAATCAAAACTCTCGATCACAAACATTTAAAGGCAGATAATTCCTATCCTTGAGGATTTGTGCCCCCGTTGTCTCCCTACTTGGGATCATTATAAATGATTGAAGTGTATCGTTCATGGTATATAAAATATTCAGCCAGAGCTGCTCCTACCATTGTTGCATGCGACTGCTCCAAAACATCATTCTCACTCTCACCTCGGTGCTCTTTTATCAGTGAGGTAAATTAGTATTTACTAAATTTGATTTGTTTTTAAAAGTTACATATCAAAAGTCCAGAAGAAACCTGATGAGTGATTGCTAAACATGTAAATATACTTTTATTTAAACACCCACAATTACATACTCATGGTGATAATCTTCTGGATAATGTGATTACTATGGAAAATAATATTAGTGGTTTTTTGGTTTGCGGAATTCGAGGGAATTTGATGGAATTGGAATGACAATTTTTTTGACTAAACTTCAATTCTTTTGTTTGGTTCAATTCTTGAAATTGATAAAATCCTTCAAAATTCTATTGAATTCTACAAATTAATGAATTCATCATTTCTTGGCATGATGGAAAGAACTGAATTCCATCATCAACCCACCACTAATCACCTGTCTACCACTGTAGTCGTGCAGCTACCACTCTGCCACTCATTTCCCCACTCTGTCCCCTCCCCTACCGCCTCACCCCACCCTGTATGCCCCTAACAACCCCAACTATGGAGCAAGAGTGGTGGGGGCAGGGTTTGGGGTGGTGGGACAGGGTTTGGGTAGGGTGTGGGCGGGGCGATAGATGAGAGAGTCCAAACAAAGATGATTGTTCCAATTCTTTTGAGAGATTTCATTCCAATTCCTACCAACCAAATACGTGATCAAATTCAATTTCAATTCCTTCAAAGTCAAATTCCTCTGATGGATTTCAATTCCATCAAATTTCATTCTATGAACCAAACACCCCCCTAATAGAGTTTAGAGATTGATGTGTCAAACTTGGGAGAGGTCAACATAGATTATTTGATTCGACCTTCAATCCTAAGCTATCTAATTAACTAGCACGTGCGATTAAATTAGACCAACATACATTAATTTTGAACCATATCAACTTCATATTTTGAAGTATTTTTTTAGTCTGAGAAATAATTTTCTTTTCTTTTAGAAGAATTTATATTTGCTTTTTTATCTTCCAAATCATCAAACGTTGTTAAGTTGTTATTTATATTGTTGTTATTTTATGACAAAGCATGATTTTAGACCATCGATCATCCAACCCCCAAGAAAAAACTAAAATTCCTAACTCGTATGTGCTTAGAATCGAAGATGTTTCATTGTCTAGTTGCATGTGACTAGAAATTGAACTACGAACGTAACATGGAATCTATGGACACCTAAATAACTAACATTAAATTGATAACAAGCAACCACACATAAATCAACCCCAAATGAAAATCCTAATTATCAGTTAATATGTATTTGTTACAGTAAAAAAACGTTAAAAACCAAATAATCTAAAATGTATAACATTAATATGCATTTGCATTTGTTACAGTAAAAAAAACGTCAAAAACCAAATAATCTAAAATGTATAACATTAATATGCATTTGTTCATACCTTCTAGTGTCTCGCTAATTCTTATTTGTAATATATGTCCTTTTTACTGTCAAAAAAAAAACTAGAATGTATAACATATTATTTATACTTTCGTTTTAACTTTTAGTGGATGTCAACATGTAAAAAAGTCATTTGAGTCGAATCTAAATGAGATTGTGTCTGAGGGCAAGTTTGTTAGCAGCTTAACGAGCTTAGTGAGACTAATAACTTATTCAGCCGGTTATATATGATGTTTGATAGTGACTTAATGATATAGAAATTGTCTTATTCACTAACCTTCTAGGGAGGAGGTTTATGTAGAAAACAACGTTTTTTTTTCTTTCTAAACCTACCTTCCAATTAAAAAACATGTTTTTTCCATTTATGAAAAAAAACCCTCTCAAACAAAATTCTTTCAAATCTATACAAACAGATTAATTCATACAGACAACTTTATCCATACATAACGACTTTGTGTCAGGAGTCGATTATTCACGTAAGTTCATAATCAAACATGCGACTACATGAGTGTTTAAACTTATATATTCAAATATCTTAACTTGAAAAGGAAACGAAGAAACACAGATGAAAATAGTTGTATTAGATGTATATATATTCGGCAAACATAACAAGAAATATTTGACACGACGTTATTACACGAATGTACACATTACTTACCATATATCTACGCTTATATATCTGTTTTCTTGACAATTAATTTTGAATGAAACTTGATGAACAACAACAATCCATCATTACCCTCTTCTTTCATTGTACTCTATGCTGGCCTTGCACTAATTCCTGGAACTTCATTTCTGTCTGTTTGTGATCAAGAACATCAGTTGAATCCCAAGAGTTTGAGGAGGCTGAATTTGCTTCAAATTCGTTAGACCACCAAGTCATGCTGTCTTTGGCACCATGCATGTCCTTGAAACAATCAAACTGATCATTCATCTGCCCTTCTAGTGGTGTAGCTCCTTTGTTGCTCAACAGTTCATCGATTTCAGCTTGAAATTCCCAGCACTGCTGTAATTCCATGCTTGGTTGCTGTTTTGTACAATCCGATTCCGGGACAAGTACTGATGATGACTCTGGAATGTTAATTCCCATTGAATTCTCCATTCCATTTATCATCATATTACTTATTTGGGAATACTCTTGCTGAAGGGGGTTATTGGATTGTGCATAATATTCTATCTTTTGAGGGGTAGCAGGTGAGAAATTTTGCATCATCAGAGCGTTAGAGGATTCATTCACCAACTGGAGACTATGCATCATTTTTTCTTGAATAGGGTTCAACTTGCAAGGCCACATGGAAGTATTATGATCATAGTGAGAGAAATTAGGGTTTTCAAGGCTTTGAAGTTGCATGTGCAGTTGGAGTCTTTCAACGGCCGAGTTGCTTAGGGTTTCTACTCCGCTGCTATCTTTCGGATCCTGGCTTGAACCGGAGAGCCTATTGGCCTGAGATTGTTTGCGCCTTCCGAGTAACTTCTTCTTCAGCCTGGTGTTCCAGTAGTTCTTGATGTCGTTATCTGTTCTACCCGGCAACTGAGCAGCAATTATGGACCACCTATATGATTTTGTATCGAATCAGACACCGGATCAGATCGTATATATACCATATAAAGGAGAACAAACAAGAAACGAAATTGCTAGAGCTGAGTGGTTAGAAATGAACATAAATATAACAATAAATCTGAATATGAGATGGGATGTATATATTCTTAGAACAAAAGCTTGATGGACAAATGCAAAGGACAAGTAACTTTGGTTAAAACTTGAAACCAACATGGCACATGATCAGAGAGAGAAAATTATGAAAGATCAAAACCTGCTGCCGATGCTAATATAGAGGCTGCAGATGATGTTGTCTTCTTCTTCAGAGAATCCTCCATGTTTGATGTTGGGTCTCAGGTAATTCAGCCATCTCAATCTGCAACTTTTCCCACACCTCTTGAGCCCTAAAAATGATCAATTTGTTAAGTTTAAACTTCATATATATAATGGTACCATAAGAAACGAAAATCTTGAAGAAGATCTACATAGAAATTATGTATATACATCGATGAGAATACATACCGACTTTTTGGGGTAGAGCGATCCAGTTACCACCAGTACCATACTTTTCGATATAATCTTTGAGCTTAGCATCTTCTTCAGAAGACCATGGTCCCTTTTTCACATTGGTTTTGTCACAGCATGGTGCTCTTCCCATCTTTCTTCTATTGTTACGTCTTGGTCTCCTCTTAATTGCTCTTTCTCTCTCTAAATCGACAAGCAGAGATCGTATGTGCCTCTGATTAATTGGTTGAAAATGGACGAAGGAAGACCCATGATTTATAGTAGGTATGAAATTTTGGGTTTTGATGTGATACTTAATAAACAAACCAAAAAGAAACAAAGAAAAACGAAAGTCGTACACTCTTCTAGGGTTTGGGACACACATTTGGATCAGTTCATTCTTACTTTTAGCGACTTATTATTATCATATTGCCATAGGCTAAAAACACCTATACTATACGTTTAAGAATCATGGATGTTTCTGCCTCCTATCTAATTTCACTTTTATTTCATTAGCAAGTTAAATCATGATCATATATCCTTAGTTAAAATCTTTTCAATTTTAATTTTAATTTTAATTCTGATATATAGCGATAATTAATATGCATATAGACTCGTCGTATCCTTGCAACATAGTTATCCATCAGTCATTAGATTGTCAAGGTACGTATGCTCGTTCAAAGATTGATCGATCTTCAGATCAATTACGAAAAAGTTACATCAGCATGGGGACGATGACAAACACTTGCATCCACCGAGTTGACTATGAGACATCCGGGACTTTTAATCCAAAAACGAGGCTATATGATATGTCGTTACCATTTTAATGTTAAACCAGTTATCTTCGAAATATAAAATGTATAAAGTATAGTCTATTTTAACATCTGAGTTCGCATGTATTTAATTATGCTAAAAAAGATAGAAGGAAAGCTCCATTTGTTCTACTGAAAATTGTGAATATTAAATTTTGGATTCTTAGAAATTGATCCATAAGTTGGAGGAAAGTTGAAGTTAAACATGAAATCTAACAAAGAACTAATTAATTCTATTGCTTTTCTAACACTCATTTCATGATCATTGAGTTTTTGAACCTTGTTATTACGGGTTTAAAAATGATTTGTAATATGATGTGTGTGTATCTTTCTAGTTTACGATTCTCCAGGTAACCATCATCAATACAGATTTATAATAGATAAGAGATAGAGAGGAAGATCAAACGAGAACATTCTCGAAGTAAGAGAATAATAAAATGGTTTAAGTACATGTGATTATAGAACACGGTCAAGATAAGGTTGAGCGGGCGACTTGACCCGCGACTTCAGATCACGACCAAAGTCGTGTGAATCACATATGATCTTTCACGTGACGTTGGTATAAATCACACATACACACACACACACATATATATATATATATATATATGCTACAGTGGTTATTGTATGTTTTAAAATATCATTTATATAAATAGTTCTTAAAACTGAATTTTATAGTTTACAACCTTATGATATTACTTGCATTACAATGAAAATCGATTTTATAAAACGATAAAATGTCGATCTAAACGTCATAATATATTGATTTATATAATTTAAGTTTATAAGACCAAATTATTATATGTTTTACAACGTATTTTGATGTCTTAACAAGTTTTTTCAAACACATATTTGAAATAAATGGCTTATTAAGTTTTTTATATGACTATATTTTTTAGAAATGTTTTCTGAAGATGTTTTTTATAAAACATTTTTCAAATAATGTCAATAAAAAATTTAATAAGATGCTCTATTTCTAATTAAGTTATGTTCTATCAACTTACTGTAAGATGTCTTGCGTTTTTAACGTCATATTTTTTAGAAATGTTATAACAACTTATTGTTACACATTTATATAAAATATATATTTGTTTGTTCCTATAAATTTATGGCCAATGATGCAATTTGTTATAAGATTTAGATATTTTTTGGTGTTCAATGAAACCGATTTTGTTATGGTGTTCTATTTCAAGCCCTTTTTCACTTTTTTATTTTAAGGGATAACTTAATTGGTAAGACTTAAGTTAATTTGCTCCCCAAAAGATACAAGTTTAAGATTATTGAGGCCACCGGAAAGTTTGTCTTTTAAGGTTCAATGGAATTAATCGAAAGTTAATTACACTACAACAAAATTGGGTTTATAGGACACTCCCAAATTCTAAGTGTCCTAATAGACCTTTTTATGGACTTAGTTTATAAGACCAAAAAAATATAGTGTTTTATCTAAAGGTGTTGTATTAAGTTTATATGACGTTTTTTGATGTCGTAATAAATTTTTTAGGACACTTTTAATATAGAACGTCTCATTATCAACTTTATAGAACACTATTGGAAAGATTATCCTATAAAAAAAGTGTCCTATAAAATATTGATTTTATAGGACAATTTCTCAAAAGTGTCCTATAAAGTTGTTAATGCGACAGTTTGTATTAAAAATATCCTCAAAAACTTGTTAAGACGCCTAAAAGCGTCATATAAACTTATTACAATACCTTTAGATAGGACGCTTATAAAACGGTCTATTGGAACACTTCGATATTGGGGGCATCCTATATACCCAATTTTTTTGTATAGTGTAAACTAATCTAAATACTCACGGTTAAAAAAATATCCATACATTTTTATATATTATATTTAAAGGTAAGAACAATTAAATTAGTCTTTTTTTTAAATGTAGAAATGCAATAAATAATCATTTTATTATTTTGTATTTAAGCTTTATATAAAACTTGTTAAAAACTATTAATATTATCTTCAACAATTTTTATTTATATTTTATATTTTTAATAATATAAGCATGGTTAGCTGTCCACTAAGAGAAGATGAAAAGGCAAAAGCTTCAAGATTATTTAATCTCTTGTAGTTAAAGCATTGCAGACTTCTTGTGCTTGGCTCCTCCCTCTTTTCCAATTATTCTTGCTAATTAATTTTCAGAGCAGTTGCATTCATTTACTACACAAACATGTATATGTGTCTACGCATACATGATGTATGTATATATACATATGCATATATATATATATATATATATATATATATATATATATTCCTATAATACTTTAACTTTTCAAACAATGCATGCCGTAAGGCTATTACGTACGAAAGGTTGAATACCTCCGATATGAAGTATCGAGGTTTATAATATGAATTGCATACACCACATGCATACATCATACAGATACAGATATATATATACTATATTATAAAGCATTTGACAAAAACTCTTAAAAACCATTTTTTATGCGTAAAGTACTGTTTAATAATGCATATTTCTTAAAACTCAAGATTGCAAGTAGATTATGCGTAAGTACGACTTATTAAAGCTCCATATCTGAATTCATGTAACTAACTGCAGATAAATATAATCAAATACAAGATAAACATCTCATTTTAAATGTAAAAAATCTAAAATATAATTACGATAATTATTGAATTCTAACAAAATACTTAATTATTATCTTTATAAAAAAATTATATTATTAAACCAAATAAAAATTACTTCGTTATTAAATATAAATTAAATTATAATAAAAAAAAGTTGAATTAGAAAATTACACAAAAAATATGAATTTTAAATAGTTAATTTGATACTAATATCGATATATTCTTATCAACTTTTTATTATATCTTCAAATTTATATTTTATTTAAAAAATAAAAACATTATCGTTTTTTCAAAATTCACATAAAACCATATTATAACATCAATTGAGATAAATAATAAAATGAAATATTAAAATCAAGATGTATCTCGCTACATTGCGCGAGTACCCTTCTAGTATATATATATATGTATGTATAACTTTTACGGTTTTTTAAATGAAAATGGTAAATATTTGTGTAATCATCGATCGTTGATTACGGCATAGTTTTCAACCTTTAGTTTTGATTAAATATTTTGTAAATGTAGCTTAATTAGGGTTGTTTTTAAACCTATGGAAGGTGTGTAGAGAATAAACAAACAAAGAAGAAAAAAACCAAAGAGATGAATTTCAAAAGCTTTATTGAAGAGGGGTACCACCTCATTGACCTAAGTTTTCCAACACATTAATTATTTCCTTAACTTGATTAATTATATATGTGTATATAATATTATTGCATTCCTTCATGAACAAACACAAGGGGTCCTACTCCAACTCTTGATTTGAAATATGACAACCTATAACTCCATTTCAACTAATTTATTACCATATTTTAACATTTTATATATATATATATATATATATATATATATGACTTTCTTTTATTGCTAAAAACTCATTTTTATTGTTATAATTAAATATAAAGACATAATAATTATTTTGAACAAATAAAATGAATCACTTAGGTATGATATTTTATATTTGAACCACAATCATAAACCATCTAATTTGTATAAACCGTGCAAATCACCTTCATCTGTCGATTTCATCGTTTAATCTTATGAAATTTTTTCATGGAATTGTTTAATCTTGTGAAATTGTTTCATATAATACTTTTTTTTATGAAGTTGTTTTATATATGGTTATGAAATCGTTTCATATAATACTTAATGAAATTTTAATGAAACAGTTTCATGTATTTCTCTAAAATTGAAATAATGAAGATGATATAATATCTATGATTAAGACCCTCCATAGTATAAATAATTAATCAACCTCTCATAATTAGAAAAAAATGAACAAAATGAAAAATTATGATTTGGTGAATGAGGCTTGTACAAATAACGTGGTTTGCAAAGTAAACATTTTCTATATATATACACTAGATGAGTACTCGTGTAATGCAGCGAAACACATCTCGATTTTAATGTTCTATTTTATTCTTTGTCTCTATCGATGTTGTAGTACGATTTTATGTGTTTTTAAGAAAACAATAATGATTTTATTTTTGAATAAAATATAAATTTGAAGATATCATAAAATTTTGAAAAAAAATATATCAATGTTGATATCAATTCAACTATTTAAAAGTTCTTATTTTTTTATGTAATTTCTTTAATTTATTTTTTATTATAATTTAATTTAAATTTAATAATGAAATAATTTATTTTTGATTTAATAATCTAACATTTTATAAAAATAATAATTAATCCTAATTATATTTTTGATTTTTTATATTTAAAATAAGATGTTTATCATGTATTTGAT